CGAGGCTGAAGTCCTGGCATTCAGCATAATGCCTGAGTGCCTTTGGGATATATATAATGGTTAATGTAGGGAGATGTTGTGTATCCTTTCTGGTTAAACCAGGCAGAAGTCCTGGCATTCAGCATTAAATGCCTGAGCGCTTCTGGGATATATAACATACTTAGTTTTTCATTCATAGTTAATATAGGGAAATGTTGTGTATCCTTTCTAGTTCACCCAGGCTGAAGTCATGGCATTCAGTGAAATGCCTGAGTATTTCTGGGATATATAACATACTTAGTTTTTGGTCATGGTTAATATAGGGAAATGTTGTGTATCCTTTCTAGTTCACCCAGGTGGAAGTCATGGCATTCAGTGTAATGCCTGAGTGTTTCTGGGATATATAACATACTTAGCTTTTCGGTCATGGTTAATATAGGGAAATGTTGTTATCTTTTCTCATTAATCCAGGCTGAAGTCCTAGCATTCAATGTAATGCCTGAGTGCTTCTGGGATATATATTACATACTTAGTTTTTCAGTCATGGCTAATATAGGGAAATGTTGTGTATCTTTTCTGGTTAATCCAGGCTGAAGTCCTGGCATTCAATGCAATGCCTGAGCGCTTCTGGGATATGTAACATACTTAGCTTTTCATTCATGGTCAATAAAGGGAAATGTTGTGTATCCTTTCTGGTTCACCCAGGCTGAAGTCCTGGCATTCAGTATAATGCCCGAGTATAGGGAATATAATAATATATATAGGGAAATGTTGTGTATCTTTTCTGGTTAATCCAGACTGAAGTCCTGGCATTCAGCATTAAATGCCTGAGCGCTTCTGGGATATAACATACTTAGTTTTTCATTCATGGTTAATATAGGGAAATGTTGTGTATCCTTTTTGGTTCACCCAGGCTGAAGTCCTGGCATTCTGTGTAATGCCTGAGTACTTCTGGGATATATACCATACTTAGTTTCTTTGACATTCACAAGTTGATCAAGGAAAGTGTTGTGTATCCTTTTTGGTTCACCCAGACTGAAGTCCTGGCATTCAATGTAATGCCTGAGCGCTTTTAGGGTATGTAACATACTCAGTTTTTCATTTATGGTCAATATAGGGAAGTGTTGTGTATCCTCTCTGGTTTACTCTCGTTCATCCAAATTTGTAGCTCTGAATAAGGGCGACATAGGAACCCTTTCTTTTCTAGCATTCATAACATTTTAAACTCTGACTACCTTAGATGAATATGTTAGGAGAGATTCTTGCTTGAAGAGTTAAATTACACCGGTGCATTACCTTGCCTTTTTATATGGCTGGCTTCGCAAGCGATGCAAGATGCAGCAAATTCTGTGAGCTGATTGGCTGTTAGCCCTTCCTTTTTTTTTTTGTTTTCGACGGTGGCCAGCATGGCAACCATTTTGTCCTTGTGTAACCTGCAGGCAACCCTGTTAAAGTTAAAGGGAGTTTAAACTTGTTCGTACCGTGTCAATAAATGAAAATTGGTCTTCGTCTGTTTAAACTCATTTCTCCTTCCTCCCCTTTCGCATTTTTCAACTACACATTGCACGCCTAAAAGTTTTTCATATCGTAAGCTTTGTCAGCTTGTTTAACATCAGGTATCTTGATTTGAAAACAATTGTCTCTACCCTCGGTCTATGTTTATTCACGATTTTTAATCATCGTTGCCGAAGAGCCTCCTCTGAGGTAGCGCAAAAAGATTTTCAACACCATTGCCTGAATCAAATCGTTTCTATGTTCGAAATCTGTCGCAACTATCTCAAGGATTCCGGCACCAATATAGATCATCTGAAGGCTATGAGTACTGTATGAATATAGTTTAAAAAACTGGAACAGTGTGTAAACTATAAATGCGACATACAAAATATCAGTGAGAAAGAGCCGCCATGTATTGTGGACTCTGCGTTAAACAGCAAAAGAAAATATAGGTTGTATTCCGCCGAGTTCATTCCCAATAACTGGTATCATGATGCTCAAAAATTGCACGCACCAAGCGTCACCCGTGGAAGATTCCAAACTCAACAAGTGGAGCAGTAACGGAAAGAAATCGTCGGTTCAGGTATTTAGGTAATTTAGTGTTAACAACTGGGTTGAAAACGTAAATTAGCCACCGTAAAGAGTTTAAAGCTGACGTTTCGAGCGTTAGCCCTTCGTCAATCGCTCTGACGAAGGGCTAACGCTCGAAACGTCAGCTTTTTTATTCTTTACGGTGGCTAATTTACGTTTTCAACCCAGTTGTTAACACTAAATTACCTGCTATACTCTCCCACCGACGCAGCACCACAGTTTCTTTAGAAACTTACCCCTTGGTTCAGGTATTTATTTTGTCTCCGGTCCGAAAACAAAAATCGGATAAAAATTGATTAGAAAACAAAATACTCAGGCCGTCAGTTAAATGTCGTGGTAAATAAGCGTCGCAGCCTATGTTAGTATTTACGGAATCGACTAAATACGCAGGCATTGACTAAGAAATGTTTCTGCTACGTGACTGTATCATTAGCCGGCAACTCGCTCCGGGTGAGGGCTTTGTCTCATCACCATTTTTAAGGCTGGTTTTCACTTGCGACGGAGTCATAGTCGGAGTCGTAATCAAAAGCGTAGAGCGATACGATCTAGTGAAAATCAAACCGACGGAGTCGGAAGCAGAACACCGATTCTGCCTATGACTCCGTCGGTTACGATCTAGTGAAAACTGCAATGAGTCGGAAGCGGAAGCGGAAGAATAAACCAATCACAATGCTCGATTCCAGGCCCGCGAAAGTACAAATTTTGGCGCCAAAGACAACATGGCGGACGAAGAGCAACCTGTGCTTCGGCTCTTATTAATCATTATTTTGCGCAGGCAGAGACAATACAGGAATAATATCGTTTGAAAAAGAAAGCGATTTTGGGTTCGTGATATCTATCGACGTCGAGCAGCTTTGGGAGAGTATGCTAACCTCGCCAGCGAACTACGACTTAGTGATCGTGAATTCTACTTTCGGTAGGTTTCGAGTATTTTAACTTTTAATTTCGTAATTTTACAGTCAAGCTCACACGTTTAAATGTTTCACGGCTATTTGTGCATTTTGGCCAGAAAATTATCTGAAGGTATTTGTGTACATGATTCTTCAGTAACTCCTGTGAAGAGAAGCGTCTTTGATTTGATAAGCTCAAATGAGCAAAGTAACATTTCCAACTGCCCATACCACACCACACGTAAATAAGTAAATAAATGTATTCTGGGTCCCGGTATGTCCACATCATCATACATTAACGTGCTTTATCATACATTGACGTACTTAATCATACATTAACGTCAATTGTTATTGTCAAAGAAAATTTGATCATGGAGCGGGTCAAGGTCTTTTCAGTTTCGTCTTCTATTCCCGAGCGCTTTCCATTCACGTTCACCATTACGATTCTTTTCACGTCAAATTAAAACAAGGGGTTGCTTAGATATTGATAGATATTGGTGTGCTATCTTTTGATAATTCGGTCTCTGACGAACCAAACATTGATGAAAAGGGGTAAGTTTCGGTCTGTGGTGCTGCGTCTGACGAATTCATTTTGAGCTTGTAGACGTTAGCCCCCGAAGAAAGATATCGCTCTGACGAAAACACAGTTGTTAACACTAAATTACAAACATTGATATAACCGCATAACATCGAAGCATTGCGTTCGCATGATCAATAATCACATAAGGAATTAGGATGAAATTAAATGAAAGTAATGGGATATTTCTTTCTCTTGATTAAATGCATCTGTTATTCTAAGTCTCGCGACTGTGTCTAGAAAATTATCGAACATGTGGTCTGTGCGAACAATCAACAAGAAGAAACATATATGTTGGCTTCTTTTCCTTCAACCTTCCGGTAATTCACTTGTTCTAAGAAAGACAACAGTTTGTAGCGAGGCAATCAGCAATTACAACATGTTTTACTTGTTGTTTATTTTTTGTTGTAAGGAACTAAAACAAATCATCCTTCGTTGCTGACACGTACTCCTGCTTCAAGACCGAGTTCGCGAAAATCGCTGTCAGTCATTGCAAAACTGTCTAAGAAGATGAGATTTCACTTCTTTCATCGCTACTTCCTTACCCTAAAGATTAAAGCTTTCGATCGTTAATCTGACCTTGTATGCTATAAAAAACTCTTACAGATCGTTTTTTCTTATTGAGAAAAAAAATCCATCGACCACTGATGACTAAGTAGTAAAGAAGAATTAAAAAGGCATTGAAAGCCGTAGACGTGTTAGTCGCTGTGAAGATCTAGGCTGAAGAAATTCAAGCGTGACATGGTACAATGTATCAAAATAAAAGGAACAGTGAAAACTTTTCATTACTAAAGCAATTTATAAGGTTTAGTGATCACATATCAAAAGCCAACCTGATAAAGTGGAGGAGAAGCAAGAAAGAACTTGCTAATAAGGCGACCTGTTTTCAACATTCTGGCTGAATGTAGAGATAAAATAAACTTGTGTGACCTGAATGGGATAATTTTCCTCCGAAACTTAAAACGTCGACCCAGTGGTAAAAGCAAGTTCAATAATCATTGAGAAATGCATATATATAGTCATATTATACTTCAAATAGATCATTTAGTCGACATGAAGAAAAGTTGAGCCAACCAAAAACATCACAGAATGTTAAAGAGGAAGTAGAGGGGTATTTCTGTTACACTTGACTTCTGCAGCGACTGAACTTGACCTCTTCCAGAATGGTTCTAGCGCGGACGTGTTAGCCTGAAGAGAAGATTTAGTAACATTCGCTGAAGCAGAAAGAAGGACGTGTACATGTAGGCACAAACTGAAGAGAGATTTTTGAAAACTGGTTTTGACGTTTTCATTTAGTGGTCAAACCCATTCAAAACCAAGTTTAGGATACCAAGTATAGTAAATATGGTAAGGCTCCTCTTTATAAGTTATAAGAAGGCTCTATGAAATGAAACAACACAGGGTGACCCTGTTAGCTTCGAGAACGTGCCTCATCTGTTGTGATCACGAGGACATGTTGCTTTTACTTCCTGGTAACGAGTACATATAAATGAGAGGCGATTTCGTCCAAGACAAGGAACAAGATTAGTTTCGAAAAGATACAGTGAAGACCAGGGAAGGATTCTCTCTTCGATTGAACGAGCTTAAACATGGTTGGTAATTTTTTTTTCCCATAATTAACTTATACGCCTCTTTTAGCAAACCTTCTACAAAATCTTCTGAATTTTACGGAAAGTGCAAATGCCATTCATTTGCTGCCAAGCCGAAAAAGCAGACTTATTGTTCGACATCTTCGCAAATATAGCATTAATATCATCTGATGTGCTTTAGTTTTTTCTTTCAGGGTTGTTCAATAATCATAACAGCTGTTGCTTTTCTTCTTTGCCTTTCATATTCAAGTGCATCACCGGTGAGTTTTACAAATTGTGAGCGATTAAGAATTCTGTTGCATTTTGATAGTGACTCTGGTGGAAATCCGCCAGCGTAACAGTTCTTTGTTTTTACTGAGATTTTTAAACGATTTCGCGGTTTGAGCAATATCCCTAAGCTAAACCTTTCAGAGAAAAGTTTTGTAAGAGTGAACGCACAGTCGTTCTTAGGCATAGACGATAGAGGATGGTGACTGGGCATGCTCAATTACACCTTTTTATAACTCAAATATTGATTTGGACCTCAGGCACAAATTGCGTGTCATAAAAATTTGCAACAGAAGCCAGGGAAAGCTGGTTACACTGATGAAGACATTTCCGTATTTTAGATCTGAATCGCCCTTACGATCTATGATTCTCCTCCTGTTTGCATTGCCCTTTTTGGCTTTTTATCTCAATGACCCTCTGAAATACATAGCTCTTTCTTGTTCTCTTTCAAAAACCCTTTTTTTGCTTCTGCAAGTGATATTGGTTTTTTCACCTCGCCACTCAACTACATTTAGACATTTTGAAGAATCTAATTTTATGGAGTACCTTAATGAATGTTTCTATTTTTGCGCTGATGTAGTTGCTTGATATGGAAATAAGAGTTAAGTGATTTATTCTTTAAATTATCACAGTTCTAATAATAGTAAACACTTCTCCCAAGGTTTTTATCCCAAAAAGCCAGTGACAATAGAATTTCTAGCTTGAAAAATCCTGAAAGTATACATTGCGAAAAAGTTCAGGACGCACGGTTCTTACAATCACCAATCCCAGCACGGCCACTGTCTAATAATAGCCATGATAAGACTTTTAAAAAATTTGTCTACATCTACTGACTAAGATTCGATGGATGAGTTCTTACGTACTCTGTTCTGCCATTCGCAAAGCCTTTGGAACATAACAATGCATGCTTTTCCTTAACAGAGGTTATCACAGAATCCTCCACCTTGCATTCTGAATCTGTATGATCCATCAATACTAGGGTTTTGAGCGAGCCCTCCCTCACTCCATCACTGATTATCGTACTAAATTTTTACAGGTTTCTGACAGGATCTCTGCCAACCTTGAAGTGCATAGGCGCATAGGTAAATAAAATAATTTTTGAGATGATTAAAATGTAATAGTAAAGTTATTAAATCTGATGCAGTCAGTTGTAATAACCCAGGAGAAACAGATGTTTATTAACAAGGTGAAGTCTGATCGCTTGTGTGAGAGTATAGTCCTCAAAGGACTATTTTTATGAGCATTGTACAGTAATCATGTCGTTTCCTTAATTAACTACCACCCACCCCATGTTCTTTGGATTATGAATTTTTTTATCCTTAATTGTCGAATTATTCTTTTTTCAATGTTTTTTTTTTTGTAATGAGGATATGTAATTACTTGTTCATTTGCATACTTACCAATTATTTTATATATGTAATGATATTTATTTATCATATATCTAATAAGTAACCCGGTAGACATTGTTGTTTCCTTCATTTCTAACAGCCAGAGGCTTTCCTGGATTAAAGCTTTGCGGCGGAGGAATGCCAACTAAATGCTGGGCCCATGAGTGGAAATATCAATGCTTCTTTGATACCTACTGGTTAAATTGCAAAGTCGACTTTAACGGGCCTAAATTGGACTGTCCTGTTTATCAGAACTTTTATTATGGCAGTCTGAAATGCTGTTACGTTAAGTGCCCCTAGATAATTGTGTTAGGACGTTGTACAATTTTGTTATTTTACTTAAAATAATCAAGTTTCGACACAATACTCAATTCCTTTAATTGTATTTTATCGATGTTTCAGTTTGTTATCATCCCAAGTTAAAAAAACAAGCCTGAGTGGCTTTGGAAAAGGATAAAGTAGCATAGTATAATATAATAGAATAGTAGAATATATAATTTTAGCGCCATGTATCTCCCTTCCATCCATTTTAAATGTGTAAGCCGACCATGAAAGCCCACAAACTATCGCTGTACACCTTGATATTATGTTGTAGTAGACGGATTGAAATTAAAGTTGTACACGAAGGAAAACTTGTTTACTGGTTTTTCTTTGCGCTTTTTTCGACCTCGTAAAGTCCAGACAGGCTTTTTAACTTTAATTGAATCGTTCAAATCGTTTTCAATATCTATTCTATATGGATAGATGTCAGTTCCAATTTTTGTATTTTTTACGATGTCAGAGTCTCTATATAACAGAAAGGATAGGTTGAAAAAATCTAGACTCTAGGTTCATCTCGGTTGCAGTTGCAGTTTATTTATGCGTCTTTTTCTTTTTTATTTATTTAACACCGCTCGGAACCGTTTGACGAAAAAATATAACTTTAAAACTATGCTTCGATTAAATTCTTTCTTCTTTGAGGAAACTTTACAAAATGCAACAACCGGGTAAGGGTGGGACAAGCCTTTTTTTAGGATATCCACTCCAGACCCCTCTCTATTCAGAGTAAGCAGCGCATCCCTAGAAAAGGCTGCTTGGTGGCCTGGGTAAGCCGAATGATCGAATGATGTTATTGTCTCTGTTAACAAGCAAGCGACCACGTTACGCCAGACCACCTACATGCAGAGTTATAACTGCGACTTCAGTGCCATCCAGCACCTGTCGTTTTCGTCATGCTCCATCGCTGTAGGTCTTTCCTTCCCGCCTGCGCTCCGTACGTTTAAAGTGAGGACCAGCTCGCGCGCGCCAATCCCACTCTTTAGGCCCAGGGAAGATTCACAGTAGCTCAGCAGGCTAAGACGGCTGTAAGATCCGTAGGGCTGTAGTTTTTATATCAGAGGTGGCATCTCCTATCTTCTGGCTGCAGAGCCCGCTGTCGGAAGAACGATGTCTATTTACCCATAGCTGGAGCACGGTCTCTCTGTCATGTCCTTGAACCTAGGGTCATTGCACGACTGAACTGTCCATTACACCTGGTTCGGGACTCGTTATTCACTGGCAAGCCAACTTACTCAGAGCTAACCTTCACTGAAGGCCTTTCACTATCCGCCACCTGTGACCCGCTAGGTTTGGGATGGTCGCCACGGATTTGCCCAGAGTCCCTGTCTTAGTCTAATGCTTTTAAAATAAATGCATATTGTTTGATTTCCACAGTCCTGGTGTGTTATCCAATATAATTTTCCTGCTCCACCTCGGTTCAGCGCTGTCTCTTTCTCTAGAACTTTGCTGAAATCAACCAAAAGATAAAGATTGCGTTACATATGTCACGTTACCTAATTTACATCAAGCCTCGCTTTGACTATCACTTCTCAGAAAGAAAGCGGAAGTGTTGTCCTCAATCTTCGAGGAAGGGATACCAAGCTTTCATTCGGCTGTAAGATTTGTTTTGCTGTCTTCCTCAGTTCTTTCGATTGGCAAATTAATTACAGGTTCGATTGTTTTCTCGGAAAGGGAGGGTTCAATCTGGATGCGTGCCCAGCGCTGCTGAGGTAAGCGATTTGATATATCGCAGAAACATAGAACATATAAACAGAATTTCGCCATTGCTTGACCGGA